TACACACACACACACACTATATAAGAAGATTATCTATCTATCTATCTATCTATCTATCTATCTATCTATCTATCTATCTATCTATCTATCTATCTATCTATCTGTGTGTCTATCATTTTGTATCTTTTTATTGAAGAAAATGATTCATTAGTTTTCAATTGCATAACTATCTTCTTGATCACCTTATTTTTACCTCAATTTTAAATATTATTTCACTCTAGTATACTTCCCTTGAATTCTAGTTATTTTAAAATCAAACTGTTCTACATAGCTTTAAAATCTATTAGTTTTTCAAAATCATGCATTCATCTGAGATGGGTATTTAGGTATTAGTATTTCATTCACTTTCTCCTGCTGCTGCCACTACTGAACTTGACCCTCAGACCAGAGTAAATGTCCTCTAGAAGCTGAAATTCATCTTCCTGATCTGAATATTTACTTAATAATGTCCATTCAAACATAAAATAGTTCTTATTTTCTAAAAACAGATTTCATAGAGGAATCACTGCCACACTGGAAAATTTAGAAATATTTTTACTTTATATATTAATCATCCTAACCCAAATTGGGTACTGTCTAAAACTGTGGACTTCACCTTCAAGAACTCTCCAGCCAGCATAGTCATTGTTAAAAATGCCTGGCTTGAACATCACACATCAGGAGAGCATCAAGGTTGTGGAAGGCTGACTATTTTTTCTAAACATGATTGTCTACTTACTTGTGATTGATGTGGTGCTAAGTAATGTGGATCCAATCTTAGCTTGATTCGTAAAGAGGCTTCCTTCAGGAAAGGAGGTGGTGGTGGTCTCAGGGCCTGCTGAGACAGCAAACATAATCCAGGTTGTGTTCCACTTACAAAGCTAACACTGTCACTTCCCAATTTAGGTAATGTTGCAAAAACAGGCTTACCTCTCCTTGTCTCTGAAGTAGAAGTTGATATTCTGTGGGGTGTGGAAGTCCAGAAGGTGCCCAAGCTAGTCTTCATCTCAAAGGAACTAACTGACTCCATCTTCTGGGAGACTGAAGAAACCAAAGTGGTACCAGTAGAGCTCTCTCCTTTTATAGGGATCAAGAATGTTGTCTTCAGAAGGGAAGTGGTGGGGAAAGTCACAAAGGATTTTTCTGGTTTCATAGTGCTGCTCCCTGGAGAAGATGTGGAGGGTCCTGTGCTCGCTGGAGAAGATGAGCTCTGAGCTATAGGAGATGGTGCTGTGTTCATTGTGGCTGAACTGGCAGTATGTGATGTGCTAAAGGCAATCATGGGGCTCTCTGTGAAACCTGTAGAGTACAGTATAGTCTCTGGAGCAGAAGTGGAGGTTTGTTCATGAATAACGGTACCCCTGGAGCTCTCTGTAGGAAACATAGACATCATGGTGCTCTTTGAGGCAGAATGTGCTAATTGTGGCGTGCTAGAGGACACCATGCTGCTCCCTGAAACAAGATTAATGGCTCCTTTACTAGGAGAAGTCATCATGCTGCTCTTTTCTGAAGTGGTAGTATGCACTGTGCTCGCTGAAGTGGAAGTGGCTGCTTCTGATGTGGCAGATATAAACATTGTGGTTTCTGGGAAAGCGATGGAGTATGCTGTGCTCTCCAGAATAGAACTCACAGTTTCTCTACTAGGAGAAGTCATCATACTGACCTTTTCTGAAGGTGTACCATGCACCATGCTCCCTGGAGGGGAAGTGACAGTTTCTGGTGTGGTGGATTCAAAAATGGTGGTCTCTGGAGAAGTAATTAAGTGTTCTATGGTCATTGGGAGTTGAGTAGTGGTTTCCGAAGTACTAGTAGTAATTAGGGAGCTTGTAGGGAAAGAGGTAGAGGGCTCTGTGCTCTCTGAGGGAGAGGTGGCTGTCACTGCTGTTGTGGATTCAACTGTGGTGGTTTCTGGAAAAGGAGTTAAGTGTACTGTAGTCATAAGGATTTGAGTGGTCGTTTCTGAAGTACTAGCAGTAATTATGGAGCGCGTTGGCAAAGAGGTGGACGGCTCTGTGCTCTCTGAGGGAGAAGTGGCTGTTTCAGGTGTGGCAGATTCAAATGTGGTGCTCTCTGGTAAAGCTCTGGAGTATGCCGTGCTCTTTGGAATAGCACTCATGGTTTCAATACTACTAGAAGTCATCATGCTGCTCTTTTCTGAAGCTGTTGTACGTACTATGCTCTCTGGAGGAGACGAGGTGGTCTGCTGGGAGATAGAAGGAACTTTTGAACTCTCTGTTGGAAATGTTGAAGGCCCTGTGCTTTCGGAAGCAGGAGGGGTGGTGTGTGGGGAGCTTGATGTCATGAAGATGCTCTCCGAGAAAGGTGTGGAGGACACTGTACTCTTGGGAGTTGGTGTGATGGTTTCTGAAAGAGTAGAGGTTATGCTGCTCCCTGCTGATGCTGTGGAAGGCATGGTGCTTTCTGGGGGAGAAGTGGCTGTTTCAGATGTGGCAGATTCAAACGTGGTCGACTCTGGAGAAGTAGTTAAGTATTCTGTTGTAATTGGAAGTGGAGTAGTGGTTTCGGAAGTACTACTAGTAATTATGGAGCTCGCTAGCAAAGATATGGAGGACACTGTATTCTCGGGAGTTTGTGTGATGCTTTTTGAAAGAGTAGAACTTATGCTGCTCCCTGCTGACGCCGCGGAAGGCACTGTGCTTTCTGGGGGAGAAGTGGCTGTTTCATATGTGGCAGATTCAAAAGTGGTGGTCTCTTGAGAAGTAGTTAAGTATTCTCTTGTAGTTGGAAGTTGAGGAGCGATTTCTGAAGTACTAATAGTAATTATGGAGCTTGCTGGAAAAGAGGTGGAGGGCTCTGTCCTCTCTGGGGGAGAAGTCGCTGTTTCAGATGCGGCAGATTCCAACGTGGTGCTCTCTGGTAAAGCTGTGGAGTAAGCCATGGTCTTTGGAATAGAACTCATGGTTTCAGTACGAGTAGCAGTCATCATGCTGCTCTTTTCTGAAGCTGAAGTATGTAATATGCTCTTTGGAGGAAGCGAGGTGGTTTCCTGGGAGGTAGAAGGAACTTTTGAACTCTCTGTTGGAAGTGTTAAAGGCCCTGTGCTTTCAGGAGCAGGAGGGGCAGTGTGTGGGGGGCTTGATACCATGATGAGGCTCTCCGAGAAAGGTGTGGAGGACACTGTACTCTCAGGAGTTGGTGTGATGGTTTCCGAAAGAGGAGAACTTATGCTGCTCCCTGCTGACACCGTGGAAGGCTCTGTGCTCTCTGTGGGAGAAGTGGCTGTTTCAGATGTGGCAGATTCAAACATGGTGGGCTCTTGAGAAGTAGTTAAGTATTCTGTTGTATTTGGAACTTGAGTAGTGGTTTCTGAAGTACTACTAGTAATTATGGCGCTCGCTAGCAAAGATGTGGAGGATACTGTACTCTCTGGGGGAGAAGGGGCTGTTTCAGATGTGGCAGATTTAAACGTGGTAAACTCTGAAGAAGAAGTTGAGTATTCTCTTGTAATTGGAAGTTGAGTTGTGGTTTCTGAAGTACTAGTAGTAATTATGGCGCTGGCTGGGAAAGAGGTGGAGGGCTCTGTGCTCTGTGGGGGAGAAGTGGCTGTTTTAGATGTGGCAGATTCAAATGTGGTGGACTCTGAAGAAGTAGTTAAGTATTCTGTTGTATTTGGAACTTGAGTAGTGGTTTCTGAAGTACTACTAGTAATTATGGCGCTCGCTAGCAAAGATGTGGAGGATACTGTACTCTCTGGGGGAGAAGGGGCTGTTTCAGATGTGGCAGATTTAAACGTGGTAAACTCTGAAGAAGAAGTTGGGTATTCTCTTGGTAATTGGAAGTTGAGTTGTGGTTTCTGAAGTACTAGTAGTAATTATGGAGCCCGCTGGCAAAGTGGTGGAGGGCTCTATGCTCTCTGAGGGAGAAATGGCGGTTGCTGCTATTGTGGATAGCAACGTGGTTTCTGGAGAAGCAGTGTATTCTGTACTCTGGTTTATGCTGCTCCCTGCTGACGCCGTGGAAGGCTCTGTGCTCTCTGGGGGAGAAGTGGCTATTTCAGATGTGGCAGATTCAAACGTGGTAGACTCTGAAGAAGTAGTTGAGTATTCTATTGTAATTGGAAATTGAGTAGTTGTTTCTGAAGTACTAGTAGTAATTATGGAGCTCGTTGGGAAAGAGGAGGAGGGCTCTGTGCTCTCTGAGGGAGAAATGGTGGTCGCTGCTGTTGGGGATAGAAACGTGGTGGTTTCTGGAGAAGTAGTTGAGTATTCTGTATTCATTGGGAGTTGAGTAGTGGTTTCTGAAGTACTGGTAGTAATTATGGCGCTTGCTGGCAAAGAGGAGGAGGGCTCTGTGCTCTC